TGTTACCCTTGTTACCCTTTTGTTACCCTTGTTACCCTTGTTACCCCTTGTTACCCTTGTTACCCTTTTTACCCTTTTGTTACCCTTTTGTTACCCTTGTTACCCTTGTTACCCCTTGTTACCCTTGTTACCCTTTGTTACCCTTTTGTTACCCCTTACCCTTGTTACCCTTTTTGTTACCCTTTTGTTACCCTTGTTACCCTTGTTACCCCTTGTTACCCTTTTGTTACCCCCTTGTTACCCTTGTTGTTACCCTTGTTACCCTTTGTTACCCCTTTGTTACCCTTTGTTACCCTTGTTACCCTTGTTACCCTTGTTACCCTTGTTACCCTTTTGTTACCCTTGTTACCCTTTGTTACCCCTTGTTGCCATGTTACCCTTTTTACCCTTTGTTACCCTTGTTACCTTGTTACCCTTGTTACCCTTGTTACCCTTTGTTACCCTTGTTACCCTTTGTTACCCCTTTGTTACCCTTGTTTGTTACCCCTTGTTACCCTTTGTTACCCTTGTTACCCCTTGTTGTTACCCTTTGTTACCCTTTGTTACCCCTTGTTACCCTTGTTACCCTTGTTACCCTTGTTACCCTTGTTTGCCCTTGTTACCTTTTTGTTACCCTTTGTTACCCTTGTTACCCTTTGTTACCCCTTGTTACCCTTGTTACCCTTGTTACCCTTTTGTTACCCTTGTTTTTGTTACCCTTTTGTTACCCTTGTTACCCCTTGTTACCCTTGTTACCCTTGTTGCCCTTTGTTACCCCTTTTTTACCCTTTGTTACCCTTGTTGCCCTTTGTTACCCCTTTTTTTTTTTTACCCCTTGTTACCCTTGTTACCCTTGTTACCCTTTGTTACCCTTTTGTTACCCTTGTTACCCTTTGTTACCCTTGTTACCCTTGTTACCCTTTTGTTACCCCTTGTTACCCTTGTTACCCTTGTTACCCTTGTTACCCTTTTGTTACCCCTTGTTACCCTTTGTTACCCTTTGTTACCCTTGTTACCCTTGTTACCCTTACCCTTGTTACCTTTTGTTACCCTTGTTACCCTTGTTACCCTTTGTTACCCCTTGTTACCCTTTGTTACCCTTGTTACCCTTGTTACCCTTTGTTACCCCTTGTTGTTACCCTTTGTTACCCTTGTTACCCTTTTTACCCTTTTTACCCTTGTTACCCTTTGTTACCCTTTTTTACCCCTTTGTTACCCCTTTGTTACCCTTTTGTTACCCTTGTTACCCTTGTTACCCTTTGTTACCCTTTTGTTACCCTTTGTTACCCTTGTTACCCTTTTTTACCCCTTGTTACCCCTTGTTACCCTTGTTACCCTTGTTACCCTTTTGTTACCCTTTGTTACCCTTTTGTTACCCTTGTTACCCTTGTTACCCTTGTTACCCTTGTTACCCTTGTTACCCTTTGTTACCCTTGTTACCCCTTGTTACCCCTTGTTACCCTTGTTACCCCTTGTTACCCCTTGTTACCCTTGTTACCCCTTGTTACCCTTGTTACCCCTTGTTACCCCTTGTTACCCTTTGTTACCCTTGTTACCCCTTGTTACCCTTGTTACCCTTGTTACCCCTTGTTACCCTTGTTACCCCTTGTTACCCTTTGTTACCCCTTGTTACCCCTTGTTACCCTTTGTTACCCTTGTTACCCCTGGTTGCCCTTTGTTACCCCTTGTTACCTTTTGTTACCCTTGTTACCCTTGTTACCATTGTTATCCCTTGTTACCCTTGTTACCCCTTGTTACCCCTTGTTACCCTTTTTACCCTTGTTACCCCTTGTTACCCTTGTTACCCTTGTTGCCCCTGGTTACCTTTTTTTACCCTTTGTTACCCTTTTTACCCCTTGTTACCCCTTGTTACCCTTGTTACCCCTTTTTACCCATGTTACCCCTTGTTACCCTTGTTACCATTGGTACCCCTTGTTACCCCTTGTTACCCTTGTTACCCTTGTTACCGTTGTTACCATTGTTATCCCTTGTTACCCTTGTTACCCCTTGTTACCCTTTGTTACCCTTGGTACCGTTGTTACCCTTGTTACCCCTTGTTACCCTTTGTTACCCTTGTTACCCTTGTTTCCCCTTGTTACCCCCTTGTTACCGCTTGTTACCCTTTTTACCCCTTGTTACCCCTTGTTACCCCTTGTTACCCTTGTTACCCCTTTTTACCCCTTGTTACTTTTTGTTACCCTCGTTACCCTTGTTACCCTTGTTACCCCTTATTACCCTTGTTACCCTTGTTACCCCTTTTTACCCTTTGTTACCCTTTGTTACCCTTGTTACCCTTGTTACCCCGTGTTATCCTTGTTACCCCTTGTTACCCTTGTTACCCTCGTTAACCCTTGATGCCCTCGTTACCCCTTGTTACGCTTTGTTACCCTTGTTACTCTTGTTACCCGTCGTTACCCTTGTTACCCCTTGTTACGCCGGGTTATCCTTGTTACCCTCGTTACCTTTTGTTATAGACCCTTTCCTTTGTTGTTCTTATTGGTACCAGTTTTACCCTTGTTACCTTGGTGACACCCTTTGTTACCCTTGTTACCCTTCTGTTACCCTTTGTTACCCTTTGTTACCCTTGTTACCCTTGTTACCCTTGTTACCCCTTGTTACCCTTGTTACCCCTTGTTACCCGTTGTTACCCTTGTTACCCTTGTTACCCCTTGTTACCCCTTGTTACCCTTGTTACCCTTTGTTACCCTTTGTTACCCTTGTTACCCCTTGTTACCCTTGTTACCCCTTGTTACCCTTGTTACCCTTGTTACCCTTTGTTACCCTTGTTACCCTTGTTACCTCTTGTTACCCTTGTTACCCTTGTTACCCCTTGTTACCCTTTGTTACCCTTGTTACCCCTTGTTACCCTTGTTACCCCTTGTTACCCTTTGTTACCCTTGTTACCCTTGTTACCCCTTGTTACCCTTTTTACCCTTGTTACCCCTTGTTACCCTTTGTTACCCTTGTTACCCCTTGTTACCCTTGTTACCCTTGTTACCCCGTGTTATCCTTGTTACCCCTTGTTACCCTTGTTACCCTTGTTACCCTTGTTACCCCTTGATGCCCTCGTTACCCCTTGTTACGCTTTGTTACCCTTGTTACTCTTGTTACCCGACGTTACCCTTGTTACCTCTTGTTACCCCTTGTTACGCCGTGTTATCCTTGTTACCCTTGTTACCTTTTGTTATAGACGAATTTCCTTTGCCTGTTCTTATTGGTACCAGTTTGACGAGAGACAACAAGATTGACACCCTTTGTTACCCTTGTTACCCTTGTTACCTTTGTTACCCCTGGTTACCCTTGTTACCCGTTTTACCCTTGTTACCCTTGTTACCCCTTGTTACCCTTGTTACCCGTTGTTACCCTTGTTACCCCTGTTACCCCTTGTTACCCCTTGTTACCCCTTGTTACCCTTTGTTACCCTTTGTTACCCTTGTTACCCCTTGTTACCCTTGTTACCCTTTGTTACCCTTGTTACCCCTTGTTACCCTTGTTTGTTACCCTTGTTACCCCTTGTTACCCCTGTTACCCTTGTTACCCTTGTTACCCCTTTTTACCCTTGTTACCCTTGTTACCCTTGTTACCGTTGTTACCGTTGTTACCCTTGTTACCCTTTGTTACCCTTGTTACCCTTGTTACCCTTGTTATCCCTTGTTACCCTGTGTTATCCTTGTTACCCCGTGTTATCCCCCTTGTTACCCCTTGTTACCCCTTGTTACCCCTTGTTACCCTTGTTACCCTTGTTACCCTTTGTTACCCTTGTTACCCTTGTTAATCTTGTTACCCTTGTTACCCTTGTTACCCTTGTTATCCTTGTTACCCCTTGTTACCCTTTTTACCCCTTGTTACCTTTTGTCTCCCTTGTTACCCATTGATACCCTTGTTACCCCTTCTTACCCCTTGTTACCCTTTTTAACGTTGTTAACCCTTGTTACCCTTGTTAACCCTTGTTACCCTTGTTACTTTTTTGTGTTACCCTGTGGTACCTTGTAGTAACACAGGGGAACAGAGGATAACACAGGATAACCCAGGGTAACACAAAGGAACGCAAGGAAACACAGGGTAACACAGAGTAACACAGGGTAACAGAGAGTAACAGAGGATAACACAGGGTGACACAGAGTAACACGGGGAAAGACAGGGTAACACATCGTAACACTGGGTAACACAGAGTAACACGAGGTAACTTAGAGTAACACAGGGTAACACAGAGTAACATAGGGTAACACAGGGTAACACGGGGTAACACGGGATAACACAGGGTAACACAGAGTAACACAGGGTAACATAGGGTAACACAGAGTAACGCAGAGTAACAAAGGGGAACACACGGTAACATAGGGGAACACAGGGTGACACAGGGTAATACAGAGTAACACAAGGTAACACAGGCTAACATGGGGTAACACAGGCTGAGAGTCACACAGTGTAACATTGGGTAACACAGAGGAACACAGGGTAACACACCAATATTTTGTACTTGTGCAAACAGACCCCTCACTCTGGAGTTGTTGTTAGTTTGGGGGTAGCCCTGTGATGAACTAGGATCCCATCTGTAAGGAATGAGCAGAGGGGTCCACACAATCTATTTTTTTAACCGATGTAGCAGTATATCACTACGTATGTGTATGTATCAAAGCTAAATAAACGTTGAATCACCCGAGAAGTGGTATTTTTAGCGATTTTGGAAGATTTTGACTTCGCTGTTTACTGTTCCTCTTAATAGAATATAAAATAAAAATACAGTACAAACGGTTTCACAAACAGATTGTGTGGGGGCCCTGTGGAATGAGCCGTGAAAGGGAGACATCGGGGGTTTTACTTCCTAAGGGGGTACTCCACAAAGTTCTATACGGGGAGGCTCTGCCCCAAGGTCTAACCCCTTGCCTTGAGAAGGGTACCCAAGCCCCCCCTCTATGTACGTCCTACTACATGAAGAGCTTCCTCTCTCATAATTCTTCTGTTGCAAAGAGTTCTTTCTTTTACTTTGTTCAGAACTCATTCAAGATGCGGAGAAGCATATGGCTTATGGTGCTTCAACTTCTGGCCCTAGTAGATCGGTAACGGTAAATATCGAGCATCAGCGAGATAACGTAACATAACAGAACGTCACGTAACAAAGCATAACATGGCGTAACATTTCGTTTCATAACTTTAGAGAAAAATGTATTTCATCTCCAATTGAGTGGCGATAAACAAATGTTAATAAAAACTGTTTCTTCTTGGGCCTAAAATAGCCTAAGAAGTCCTTGAAAACTGCAAACTTTTGCTGGTAAACTCACTCCCCATGCCAATCTTTTGTTAAAGGAACACTCATTCGACTGTTCCCAGAATTAAAAGGAAAATGAGATATTAACTCTAGTAATCACCTGTTTGTACCTTTATTCGGTTAAAGATGAGCTTCTGGTTAAGACATTTTGCAGCCCTGGCTGATCAGACACACGAGATTCCTGCCTTATTTCATTGGCCCCAAAATCCCACTTGAAGATAATGATTGCAGCAATCATTCTATGCGTTCTGGTTGTGAAATACGGTAGATGAAATACGTCCTCACACTGCTTCCCGGTAAGCTAGTGGTAGATTTTTGACCTCTGTTTTTTCCTGTCCTTTCATTTCAGAATAATGAACAGAGAATAGGTAAGGGAATCATAAATTGAGTTTGGCTTATTCGCCCCTCCGCCCTTACAATCCACTTTCTGAGTTCAAGTTGTCTTAATATAAGCCAGTGTCTTTAGTCTTCAATCCGCTTAAAACTTATGTTTTATGCCTTTGTTGTCTTTGCAAATGGGATATAAGGTCATTTTGTAACCATTTTTTGTTGCCCATTTTTGTTGGTACAGGAACGAACCGAATATTCAAAATCTTTCATATATATCCGTGACTGTTGGTTAACTTTGTTTGACGAAATCTCACAACGTTGCGAAACCAAACTTTCAGCTGCGCACCCCAGCGTAAATATCTACAGTATTTAGTCCGTCAAGCGTGATATAAACTGGTCGTGCATTTATCTGCCAGGGTTATAGGCTTTTGAATCTGCTCTATTTTTCTCGACAGGCTAAGAAAGAGAGGAGTTTGCCTTTTAAGAGTGTGTTAATTTGGATGCCTGTTTTACCTTAGAAGTTCCTTGGGCTTTTTTTAAAGTCGTGATTTGTTGTCGTTGTTTTTCCAGGTGTTGTTACGGAGACTTCAGGCGTACCAGGTTTACAACAACAAGTTGTCCAGGTTTCAGGTCCGTCAGATAGTGGAGGAACAGCCGCGGAACCTTCACAAGGCCAAGAAACGAGTACTGAGGTACAAAACAGTATTAATCACGCTTGTGCGGGGTCTTTTGTTTTTTAGTGTCGAAAACATAACAACGGCTAAAGAAGAGGCTTAGACTCTATTTATGTTCTTGATTTGTGTTTGAATTGTTTTTTTCCTCAGGCTAATGAGCAGCATTTTTTACTGTAAAATATTTCCAACATTATAACGAGTTTTGTGAGTCATTTGATTGAAAATGGAAAGCTTCGTAGACAGTTGTCATCGTTTTTTTTTCAATGATTCTGGCTTTGTTAGATCAGTGTCGCAAAACTCATTTTGTTAACATTAATAGAGATTTTGTCGAGTTTTGCGTTGTCTTCGTTTGCTATTTTTCATTGATAAATAGTGAATAAATACTTTCATCCTTGACACCAATGGAAGCTTATTCTCGCCACCATCATCATCATCTTCATGGCGTCATTATCATCGTTTATCACCATCATCGTTAGATCGTTATGGTCATCATTATTGTCGTCATCATCATCACCATCACCATCATCCTATTTATCATCAATATCATTGCGTCATCACAGTCGCCATGGCAGCTTTGATCGCTTGTCCCTCAGTTTCGCCTCTCCTCTTACTACCGGATCGAGGGAAACTAAAAGTGATGTTACACAGGAGGATTCGCAATGACAATTTGTAACGCAACGCAACGCAACGTTGCAACATTATTGCAACATTATTTCGAATAGCTGCAACATTGTTCCAACGTTGCAACGCTTTGTTGCGCTAAAAATCTACGTTGCAAATCGTCCCGCGTAACATCACCTTAAACTTGACGCTTTGTGGTTTGCAGGTCGAAGCTGATGAGTTGGATGAAGAGACAGAAGAAGATGAAGCAGAAGTTCTTGCAATTGCTGCCGCTCGTGGCCGCCGATCTGCAGTTGTTGTGCCCAGTTCCTCTCAGAAAAGGAAGCAGAGTCTGCCTGACAGACGAAAGTATCCTTAGTGGACTCTCTTGGGAGGAGCGGCGGCGAAAGGAACTTGATTCCTCGGAACGTTCTTATAGACTTTTCTTCACTAGGGATCGTACATCGTTTCTACGTGCGTTTTAGAGTTGGAAACACTTTTCTGTTGGACGTTCTTAACTTTCAATGCAAATTTATATTTAAGGGTTGCTGATTTTTAACGATGAGTTAATTGTCGATTAAGATAACTTTTATCGAATAAAATATGTTCTGTAATGTAATTGTTGTTGTTGTTGTGTTTTTGTTTCAGTGACATACACCGACGAAATTTGACAATGGCCCTGTCCACGTCATAGATTTGCCACAAGTCGACCTAAGTTCTTAAAAGTGAGCGGAGCGAGCTTCAATGCTTGAGGTCGCGAGCGGCGAAGTCTTGAGGTCGATTTGTTTCGCCTGAATGGATTTGAATCATAGTATAAATTCATGCGGGAAAAAATGATTGACATATGCTGTGTCGGGAGAGGCGTGAAATATCACTCATTGTCCTATTGGTCAATTGTCATGACGTCAAAGTGAGAATTTTCGACCAGTGAATTTCGCGCCAAACAGGTATGAAAAGTCCTTTCGGACGGTTAGGGACGTTTCCGTCCCATATGGCACGATGTATATATTCCTCCCTGGACCCAGTTAGCTTTCAGTTTAAGTTAATAAATTGGTCAGCAACAACGTCAGCTGCAAAGATAGATCTTTCCAGCGATACCTCGTTTTGGATACTATGACCAATCCTGACAGAGTTAAACTCACAGAAAAGGTAACATTTTGGGGAAAGATCCACCGCCAATTTCGCTTTTTACATACTACTCTTTGAAAATTAATTTTGTCCCTTTCCTAAAAAGTTGGCCAGCCACAGTTCCATGCAAGACGATAAAGTGGGCAACAAAACTGCTTATGAAGAAGAAAGGCTTTCGCGCATGCGTGAAAAACAAAAAAGCTGTTTAATTACGTTAGATCAGTTGGAAATTATGCCTTTTTCTTACAAAATTCATTTTTAGCCATTCTTATGCTAATTAGCCGAAAGCTAGTCCTAAGAAAACGAATTGGTGATAAATGCGGTTTTTTCGCCACTCGCCGGCCATCACCAAATTAAGCTTAGGGTTAAAATGGCATAACCAACCAGGAAAAAAAAACGACTTTAAGAAAGTCTATCAACACCAATACGTTTTCAATAGTCGCGTCCACCCTACTGTTTTGACGCGTTTTCGACTGTCCATACTAAAATGTTCGAAAATGTGGTGACGTGAGTTCAACTCTATGCGCACGCAACAAACACACGCGCCTGCGATCTTTTCGGTCATCGTTTTCATTTTGACTCGTGTTTGACCGTCCACACCAGTACAATACATGTATGCGTTTTCGTTTTGATCCACTTTCAAGAGCGTTTTCAAATCGATGCGTTTTCGGTGAAAGCGCTCAGTGTATTTGTGTGGACGGAAGGCCTAAACGGAGCCTAAAAAGGTAACAGATAGACTTTTATAGACAGTAAAGTACTCGGGTTTACAGTCTTACAGATCACCGCTTCATTAACCTTGTGACGTAAACGAACATGCGCAGTGTCACTAATATTCAGTGCTGCATTGCTGCATGCAAAATTCAACTCAACCGTTGCTGCCATACTGCTGTATAAGACCGTTATAAAACGTCTTTGGCGATGGACAGATTGGAACTAAATGGACGACAGTAGGGCGAAATTTTTCAAGTTTGACCCTGCTATTTGGGAAAACTTGCTCCTCGGAAACCATTTCATTTTGTCGGTGCAACCTTTTGGAGAATAATTTTCTGTGCCAATCAAAAGTTATCTGCTGTTAAACTCACGGATGACGTAAAACAAAGAAAACAAAGAAGTCGACTCAATAGAACCTAGAAAGCATGCAGTCATCTTGACCTTTAGACCCTGTTTACATGGGGTGGGGGACCCCGGTCTAGTGGGGTAAGTTTCTTTTGTTTTGTGTCCCCCAGAGCGTGAAAACAAAAGAAACCAACCCCACTAGACCGGGGTCCCCCACTCCATGTAAACAGGCCCTTAAGGAAGTACACCGTCATAATTGCAACGTAGTGTTTACAAAGACATCGGAGATTTTTACCAGGATGATCATACTCAACAAGCTCATGAGTTGACGTATTTAGCAAGTATATGCGTCATCAGTTGACGATTATCGGGAAAAATAGTCAAAACGTGAGAAGCTGACGTGATTATAAAAGTTTAGAAAGTAGGTAACACGTCGTGAGTTGTGCTGAAAGGTTCAAGTACCGTTTCCGCTTCCAGTCTTTCAGTAACGGTAGTTGTAATCAGCACTACTTAACACTTACCTTTGACATAATTCTCGCAGAATACTGCATGTACGTCAGATAATTAGGGAGCTTTAGCATCGACCACGGCGACTGTAAAAAGAACGTAAATGAAAAAAGCAACAGGTTTGATAAGCAAAACAGCACCTTTCAAAACTTTGCACGTGCAGCACACTTTTTCTTACATTCCTTCACCGCCCCGACACGACTGTGACGTGAAATTCCCTCAAGCGACGTTTTATGTAGGGTGTACCAAGTTATTCTTTATTCCTCTCAACTTGTGTTCGGTCGCCAAGAATTCAAGTCCAGGAAAATTCACCAATATTTGACACGTTACGGAGCCTAATCGGGTCATCCTCGGTGTAATATAATATATATTTTTTGTGTTGTTGTTTTATAAACTATTGTCAGGGTTAGGTTCATTGTTAAGGATGTTTTGTTTTCTTTGTTTTACGTCAGCTGTGAGTAACACCGGAGATGAGCTGAATAATCGCGACAAAGTTTGAAACAAAGCGAAGTCTTGTGACCTTTTCGCTGCTCTCCAAACTTAAACCCGGTCTTAGAAGAATTTTGCAAAGAAAGAAAGATACACAGTTCAAAAAATTACTTGTTCCAAGAGCCATCATTGCTTTTGGGGGGAGGGGGGAGGGTGGATTTCATCATGGCGCTCTATTGAATCATACGTGGAGAGGCGTGTAGGGAAGTCATACGTTCCTTTCCTGTTGGGCTGGGGGACTTGTCACTTTAGATTAAATAAGATCTTTCTAAAAAATGTGTAGTTTTACGTACACGCCAAAGTAAACAAACGACCATTGGCAATCTGAAGTGAATAGCCTTAGATTTTCGCAGATATAACTCTTGTTTACTTGTCATCATATATGTCTTATCGTTGCCTATTAAAGTAAGCGTTTGGAAAAAAAGAGAGCTTTCCCGCTCCATGATAAACAAAAGCTCAAATAAGTCACAGACTTGCAAATCTCCGTGCTTTCTATATGGTATTCGCCAAAATTGCGGCCGGACAAAAGCCGCATGAAGTATCAAATCAGTTAGCGCAAGTATTAGCCGGGGTTTTCCCTAATCCGATGGCTCCGAGCTCGGACACGCTTGAAGCACTCTTTCCTCATCTGGCTCATAACCAAAAACAAAATAAGCAAAATACTTTTCCGCGGCGATTATTAACGGATAAAAGTTATTCCAAAATTACAATGCAAGGAAGAAATAGTCATTCGACGATGCCCCATACCCTGTGGTCCAGCAATCATAAAAGAAACTTTCCCTTTATCAGATTGCATTGACCCCTTTTTTCTTTTCTACGCCAAAAATGTGACTTTCTGTGATTTTACTGGTTATCACCTTTCACGTGATTATGTACAACGTCACAGCTTTCAATCAGTTTTTGGAGGCAAAACAAAAGTGAAGGGGAGACGGATGAAAAGGTTTGCCAGAGCCTTGATTGAGAGAGTCCCCATCTTTTAAATCTTTAATCCTTCTGCCAACATTGTTTTCTTTACAATTGACTTGGAATCTTTTCAAATTTTAAACAACAATTCACGATGATACGCAAGATGTGTCCTGACGCTTCCTTTTGATAAAAAAGTCGGCAAGTAAACCTGAAGGCGTTTATCAGTTTTCATTTCGTTTTCGAGATCTCGCCAATAAATACGTAACGGCTTCAAAGAGGCTCTCAGAACCACAAATTGACAGAAAAAGACAGGCGTTCCACCAGAACCATGGCCGGGCTAACAAGCCTTGCTTGGAAACATTCAAAATACAGCTAACAATGACTGAATGTATAACTAGATCGCGTTAAGTTTGAATCGATTCAAAAAACTGACTTGTGGTCCAAGCTTCTTGTGGCGCGAAATGTACATTGATACACTCAACACAATAGAAATGTGATAAACTCTTCTACTGAATAATCAACTTTGTATTTTCGTGATAGCTGATATTGCTGAATTATAATTTTTGGGTTTTTTGCCACAGTTTTGTCAAAAAGCTATTATTTTACATGAACGCTTAAGTGCCGAAAAGCAAACACCACAAACACTTGAACACTTGCCACGTCTATCATCAACTGATTTTTCACGATAAGATCAAAAAACTGACGTGTGCTGGGAAACAATTAACTAAACCAATGTAGGTAAAGCAAATGTACGCTGTGCGTCACTGCGCTGCATGGGCTTTGGTAAAAGCTATTCACGTTTCCGCCGTTTTTCAATGATATGCTGTTGAAATACGAGGTATTATTTTAAAGTTAATTAACAAGTTTATTCTTGTTAATCCATTTTCAGTAACAACATGTAGCTCCTAGATTGTATTTACTCGTGGGCTTCTGTATCTTTTCAATGCCATTCTCTTCTCTCCCTCTGAGGGAAATGTTAATCTCAAATTTGTCTCACATGTACCACAAAGGCAAAGTATTACGGACCAAGATTAAGTGCTACTTGAAAATCTCTTCTTAAACGGACGCTTTGAGCTAGTGCTGATTCCAGCGGTGCCCATCTAAAAGAAAGTGTCAGGCGTTAAGTCATGCGTTATTTCAACCCCAGGGTTTTCCCGTTTTCCTAATATATCACCACGGCCTAACAGACCATTGCCGAGTTCCCCCGGGCCTCGGTATCAAAACAAGCGCTCAGCCTTTGATATGGAAATGTTTTTTCATTCTCATGCAAGTAAAATTCATTTTCACAATAAA